ACTAGGATTTACAAGGAGAAGGCTAAACAAAAGTTGGATTGAAACGAAATTTCATTGAAATACCATCATCCATCCTTGCTAACCAAAAACATACCCATTTCGGCAACAGCCATTAGTATGTGCAAAGTAAAACCTCGCAAAAGAAGTCTGCTTTACATCGCTCTGTTAGTCTGAATCAGCCTCTAAATCCTCCTCTGAATCATCCTCTGAATCCTCTATTATCACTTCCTCAGCTCTGCCATCAAATGCACTATCATTCCCAGGAGAAACAAGACTGTCCCAGCAAACATGGAAATTGTAGGTTGGAACATCAGGGATCCCAATTAATTTTCAATTAATTAATTAATTAAAATTATTTTAATAATATTACTATTAAAATAAAATTTTATTTTTATTATTTTTTATATAAATTATTTTTAAAAATATATATTTATCACATTATTAATTAATATAATATAATGTGCAATACAAAAATCTTAGTAATAAAAATAAAAAGAAACTGAATCAGCATATTTTAATGGGCCAGAGAGATGCCGACTCCTAAAGTCCTAATCCAGGAGTCGAATCACAGATTCACAGATTGTTTCGGTCTTGAAATGTTGGGCCTAGCATGGCTTGTGTCCTGTGATTAAGCCTGCTAATCTAACGTCCTGATATCTTCTCTTGAGAAACTCTCCCTCCACCAGTTTAGTAGGCTTAATTTTAATTTAAAATATTTGCATTTAGTAATCTATTTTTAAAAAAATACTATTTAATATATTTATTCTTATTTTACCTTTATTTTAGACCAAACCCCCTATCTCGCCCTTTATCTTATAGATTTTAAAATTATTGACCCCCCCCTAAAACCTTAAGGATATTAACCCCTTAACAATATGATTTGAGAGAATTCACTCATATTTAATAGATTTTAATCTTACACCATTAGGCAAACGTTACCGTGGCAATCAACGAAAATTTCTCCCTTAATATTATTTATTTTTATCGAGATTCTAAACAAGTTTTTTTTTCAAAGAAAAATTATAATGATAGAGTGTGATATTGCCATAGTGGCATGCCCCATAGAATAGAGATGTTGATTGTGTCATTGTTTTGGATGGAAATAATATCTGATTAATAATATGATATTAAAATCTATTAAATAATGATAAATTCTCTCAAATCATATTGCTGAGGGGAGAGGCTAATAACCTTAAAATCCATAAGTTAGGGGGCTAGATAAGGGATTAAACCTTTATTTTAAAAATATAATTATAATATATATTAAATAAGAGGTCTTATTTAAGTATTGCTTAATTAATGTAAATATAAAATCTTATTATTAAATTATGAGGATAGTATAGAGTAGGTCATCCTTTTATTTATTTTTTTTTTTGAAGAATTTGTCTAAAAACTCACATTTTAATTAATATTTTTAAAGTCAACAGTTAGATTAGAAGTTCTATTCATGTAGATTATATATGTCAATTTTCATATTAATCTACCACTTATAACTCTTTAATTAAAAAACGTTATTTATTTACATACATTTAATAGTATTAGATTTCTTGTAATAAACAAAATGATTAAGCCGACAAGAACAATTTGAAAATTGACATGCATTATTTATATGAATAAAACTTTTAATCCAATAATTAGCTTTTACAAATATTAATTAGAATATAAATTTTTAGACATCCCTCAAAAAAAAATTTAAAAAGATCATTTGCAAAATACTTTTCTCATAAATTATTATATCTCTATTTTATTGGACAAAAAAACTCATCCTGCTAATAGCAATTATACTGTTAAGAAAAATTATTATTTAAGCCTTTTTGTAAAAAAAAAAAAAGTAGTTGTTTAAATAGAGCTATAGGCGAACGCACAATTCTACCCTCTAAGTATAGACGGGACAAATCAATCTTTTAACTAAATGCAGGAAAAAGTTGTCTCATAATTAATTAGACTAGATAAATTATCATAAGTAAAAAAATTAATAAAAGTTATTAATAATTAAATTTAAGATAATTTGTCTAATAACAAGTAACATCATACGGGGGTGAGGGTAGATTTTTGGGGGGTTTAGCCAGAGCTTTGTAGAAGTAAAATTTTGTAGCTGGCACTGAATGTGATACTCATGAAGGAAATCCCTTCTCATCAGCCGAGTAAACGCTGTAGCGTGGAGCCGGTAACCAAGCGGGACTTAGAAAAAAT